TCTTTCCCTCAAGAAAAGAAGAGGAATGTGGTTTGATTGCCATCGACTGTCTACCAACCTTGCACATTTTCTCTTGGCTCAGAACAGTTAAGGGAATACAGCAGACAGAAAGGAGCCTGACAGACACGCAATCTTTTTTAATATCATCCGTTCAGCAAAGAATGATTTAGAAAGAAAAGAGCTAGGTCTTATGCTGCATGCTGACATCAGTTTCAAGAAAGCAGATGAATCTTGACATGATTAAGCCGAAGTTTCAAGAGAGATTTTAATTTAATGTCCAGATGGTATTTGGACTTTCTGGTATGGGTTGAGATGATCATTCAAAAAAGAAAATATGCTGGGCCCTGCCAGAGGCTGCTTGAAAATGGAGAGGGGTTGAAGGATGCAGCAGCAGAGAGCAGGCAGTAGCAGCAACAGTGGCCAGCGGGAGCCCAGGAAAGAGTTTGTGGGGGCAGGTGCCATTAGCAATACCCACACCCTGGACAGTGGGTTGCCAGGTGAGGATAAATACATGCACAGCACTTAAAGTATGCAGGAGTGAGAATTTGTACAGACCTCTCCTAGAGAGTAGCTCCCTCAGTGATGGCTCTGGAGATCCCACCAGTTTTCTCCCCTGGTCTGTCTGATGCAAAGTTGCATTACTGTTTCATAGAATCATAGAATCACAGAATGGTTTGGCTTGGAAGGGACCTTTAAAGGTCATCTAGTCCAACCCCCCTGCAACGAGCAGGGACATCTTCAACTAGATCAGGTTGCTCAGAGCCCTGTCCAACCCGACCTTGAATGTTTCCAGGGATGGGGCATCCACCACCTCTCTGGGCATAAAAAATTTCTTCCTTATATCTAGTCTGAATCTACTCTCTTGTAGTTTAAAACCACTACCCCTTGTCCTATTGCAACAGGCCCTGCTAAAAAGTCTGTCCCCATCTTTCTTATAAGCCCCCTTTAAGTATTGAAAGGCTGCAATAAGGTCTCCCTGGAGCCCTCTCTTCTCCAGGCTGAACAACCCCAACTCTCTCAGCCTGTCTTCATAGGAGAGGTGTTCCATCCCTCTGATCATTTTTGTGGCCCTCCTCTGGACCCTCTCCAACAGGTCCGTGTCTTTCCTATGCTGAGGGCTCCAGAGCTGGACACAGTACTGCAGGTGGGGTCTCCCCAGAGCAGAGTAGAGGGGCAGAATCACCTCCCTTGACCTGCTGGCCACGCTTCTTTGGATGCAGCCCAGGGTACGATTGGCCTTCTGGGCTGCGAGCGCACATTGCTGGCTCATGTCCAGCTTGTCATCCACCAGTACCCCCAAGTCCTTCTCCGCAGCACTACTCTCAATGTTTAATTGGACAAATCTGGTACGGAAGTACCAAAATATGGCAAGACAGTTTGAGGGACTGCAAACTGAAGTAGCAAAAATTGCAAATGTTACAAAGAAATCTGCTCTCAGCAAAAATTTGTGATTGGGATAATGGAGTCGGGACCTGTGCTCTAAGCTCTCCTGCAGGTCTCTCAGCACCTAGCAGTGATGAGCAAAACCCACTGGCCAGCTAAGAGATGAGTACGGCCACCTTGAACCACTGCTGTGATTTAAAGCAGCCAGAGTGGCTTCTGTGCCTGACTTATGATTCCTCTTCAGAACTGCCCAATATTGAAGAGAAACAGAGAAAATGTCCCTGGTTTTAATTTTCACTCTGTGAACAAAGAGCCAAAGCGCAAATATGATGAGCACCAAATTGCCAGTACAAAACAGCAACTTCTCTTTTCATAACTGTCTTTTTTTTTTACATTTCTACTGAAGTCATAAAATCCCTTGGGTATTTTCTCATTTTTGTCCCCTTCCTTCCTGTCCCTGCTCTGCAAACAGTCAGGAGGTCAGTACTCACTGTAAAGAACCTGTGGATGATTTTGAATTTTTCATGCCACTCTCAGCCATCTCGATGGCCAGTTTTATCTCCATCTTTTTGTACAATGACACAATGCTGGATTTGGGCTGGTGTTCCCGAATTAAGATTTTCTTCAAATACTTATTGTCAAACTTCTTAAATCTGCAAAAGAGATATTAAAATCAAAGTGTAAAAAAAGGAAATGTGTTTTTATTTCTGTGGTACAAGCTGGTCTTCATTCAAATGCACACATATATAATTCAGTGGTGGAAACTGAATCCAAATTGGAGGCACCTGTGGACTCCTGAAGGTCTAGTGAGCGGAGACCTTTAGGGGGGACATTTGGCAGAGTCTACTGGTCCACAGAGATTGCAAAGCCCACCAGACAAAAGAAATAAACAAGCTGCAATCAGAGCAAAAAAGAGGGCTGGGTGTGTGTTTGCATATAACACCGCCACATTTGTCAGAAAAGAATATGGCCAGTCTCCACGCTTTTGTACAAATGTTGTGTTCTAGTAGGGCATAACGGCAGCAGCTGCTCTTACAGTAATCCTGGCCTATTCAGCCAGCCACCAATGAGGCTCTAAATGGCCCGGCAGTTACAGTAGTTTGGGTCCATTATGTTGCTGATAATTTTGAATCCTGACAATTAGAGCAGAAAAAATACATTTCTTTGTATTCTGAATAACGGAGAAATTGAATGGACTACAAAACACTATGTGCTCACATGCTGCAGATTGTAAAATATTGCTAATGTGTGGCATAATTTGAATGTGAATGTGTGTGTGCGCTTTGGAACAGGTACGTGCTTCTAGGCAGACGTTTAACAGAACAACAGCAGATCTTACATGTTTCTTTCAGAGGAACAGTTTACCACAGCAAGGTAATGTGCTCCACAATGCTAGGAAAAAGCACTACAGAGTTTGTACATTTTTTCTTAACAAAGCCTATTTTTTATATATTAATAGCAGAGATACGTACACAAATGTTTCCACTGGGATTAGAACTCTCTCTGTTTTTCTATATAACAGAAAGCCTCCTGGAGTGTCATCACTTAGGTAATTAATTCTGATATACATATGCTAAACATCTTTAAAGTTGCGTAGAAAAGTCTAGGCAATATCTTTTAAGACAACCTTCTTACTTCAAATGTCTTCACATACAGTGTGTTTTTTGAATCTGCCCCTGAACTGAAACACTACATTTATGGCTAGTTTGGACAAAAATCTCTTTTCATAGCTGTTGGGTATATGTGAGATAAGGGGATAACGTTTTCTCACAGATATGTGTAAACGCAGCTATTTCAATGGAATAACTGCTCCAACAGGGACTTGTTTAGCTTATTGACTGCACAGACAGTGGTGTGGTCCCAGCGGATGTCCTAAAGCTACCTCTGTACTGTGAGAGCCAAGAGGACATTTTAGCTTCTGGGTCCAGGTATGTGCCCTAGCACATTACATCATTACTCTTCACTGGAACAAGAACTAGATGCAAACCAGCCACCTTCTTCCCACTCTTAATTCCTGATTTCCATGGGGAGAAACCCAGTCGTGAAAGGAGTTGCCACATGTCCTGACAGACCCCCCTGGCTGGATTACTGGGGTCCAATGCTGAAAGATGAGACAGAGGACTCCAGCACAGAAGCCTAAGCATAGCTAGGATAACTAGGGATAACTTTTAGCCTACAGCATCTTAATAAGATGTTTGTGGGGAAGGAAGATTAGTGTCTTCCCCACACTTCCCTTCACATGCTGAGGTGGTGGCCAACATGATCACAGGGCTCCCTTAGGGAGAAGGTAAAGGGAAGGGCAGCTCAGAATGGCAGGTCCGTCTCTTCTGGGCAGTGCCTGGAAGAGCCACAAAGCTTCACAAGACCACCTCATCCTGCTTATAGAAGACACAATGCAGGTCCTGCATTTCTGAGTGAAGACTAGCTTGAAAGTATCTGCTTATGCTACTGGATATTTAAATTCAACCATTCCCTTCAGTACTCTTATTTTAAATATTACTGAATGCAAAGAGCTGTAAGGACAGGTGACTAATTATTATTGAATCTGTACTCACCAACAAGGGATCATATTTGATGTGGAGACTTACAGCAAAAGTCAGTGAAGCACTGACACCTTACATAGCTTCTGTTCTAAATCCAGACCTAAAGGAGCACTGCCATGGATCTAAGAGTTATGCCAAAGCTATGTGCACAGGCTGATGTCTGCAGCATGAGTTCCCGTGCTATGTTTTTATTTCAGAAGGCTTATTTTCTGCTTGTTTGTGCAGAAGCAATTTAGCAGGCAATATATGAGCACTGCACTCCCAAGAGATAACCGTTACTCAGGAGTTCACTTTTTAAAAAGAGATATTGCACGTCCCCAATATTTTCATGCTATTTTAGCTTTATGGGGTACAGACTGATTTCCTGTTCTAGTTACCTATTGTATTTTACATGATAGGTAGGTTATTTTATTATAATAGGCTGCAATAAGAGATGCTTACTTATCTCTCAGCTGATAATGACTCCAATGTCCACATATGTCTTCAATACCAGCCTTCAAGTGATCCATCAACTGGAGAAATAAACATGGAAAAATTTTAGGTGTCCATTATGAGAAAATAATGTCACCACAAATACGCAATTGTTGACAGGATTTTGAGATTTTTTTTAACTGGAGGGTGTGAGTTAATTCTGAAAGCATCTACATTTCTCTAAAAATCGAGGCAAAGATCCCACTGTGGCAGCTCCTATGCTTGGCTGCAGCGGCAATATTTTGATGGAGGCAACAAGTCTGTCAGTCTGCTGTCATCTCACCATCACCCAGCAACATACAGGCCCAAGTTAAGGACTATGTCCAATAGAAGATGATACTGAGCATCCAAATTGCCTGGTCCTCTTTGTCTACTGAGACCAAAAACTAAACTCTTGGTTCTGTCAACCAGGTTGCCCTTCTACATATGTGACCTCTCTGAGAGGGGCACAGGGCCAGGTATCCCACACCTTAACCTTTGCCTTGACCGACAAGTCCTCTGAGGGTTTTGCAAATTGTCATGAGACTGGTAAGTTCATCACTGCTAACTACCAGGATTTTCAGTCATCTTTTGTGTGTTTGTGGCATTATGGAAACAGACAGAAAAATGGCCAGTTCTTACATACATATTGTTTTAAGTGGTGCTTTTAAACATAACTTCCTTTCAAGGTTAAGTGTAAAGGTCAAAATAGTAAGAATTAAATGCACTTCAAATTCAAATCAGTTGAGATGCTCTAATTTTGCTAATGTGTTAGCAACAAAAAAAATTAAGCATGTGCTTAATTTTAAGGCACAGTGTTTCTGTCAATTTCAAATATATTCCCTATTGTGAAAATGAAAGCATGTACATATATTTTGTATAGTGTTGTTAAGTCAGTTTGAGCAGCTTTCTGTTATTTTATATAATGGTAATTTGAGAGCTAAAGCAAATGTCTGAGAGGGGAAAAGATCATTATTCAGAATAACTTGAAACTACATTTGCAGACCAATGGTTCAATTCATTTCAGTTCAATAACACTTGATTAAAGACTTTTAAGGTGTCAGTGTGTCTAGAACCAGTCAAAAGATGGCAACAAAGGTATCTGACAAATCTAGCTGGCAAGGATGATGAGTGCATTTTGTAAATGCTACCTTTATGTTTCTGTCCTCCCATGGTCACAAGTATCAAGAAGTAAGGGCCCTGCTACACCGTGACACTTGTGGTACAATATTATAATATGATAGTCACTATGAATATAAATGCGATATCATATTTTAGAAAACTATGCCTAGGGTTTCCTCCAAATGTTGTTAAAAGCATTCAGTGTCCAAATCCACTGAATGCCAGTGCTACCAAATGCCTCCCTCTGGTCCAGTTCATTTGGAATATCCTTTATCTTCTTCTTTTTAGGATACCAGCTACTGATATAAAAAAACTTACTCGCACATGAATTTCTTCACTGATAGACTCCTTTTTGTTGGTCTTTTTAACATCTAGATACCTGACCAATGGTCCAATTGTGATTCCCTGCATTTGGAACAATGAGTTGAAATGTTTATTATCTTTTAGAAAAAACAGAAAGAAAGCAAAAGGATTTAATTTTAATCAATTAGGAAAGCTGTGTCTTAGACACAAGAATGATCTATTACTTGTATGGAGAACTACAGAAGAGGATTAAAACTCAAAAACTTTAAAAAAATTACGCACCAGCTTTTTTTTAAGCAAGGTTGTATTTATCAACATGTTTTAACTATGTAAAGTAACTGACTTATTGCCAACTTTCTTCAAAAGAGCACTCACTTGAAACAAAACATTATCTTTGTGAGGCTCTTACAGTCTTGAAACCTCTTACTTCAACATTTTCAGAATTAAATATTTTGGGTTTTTTTTCACTTAGAAACCATTTTCAGCTGTTCCCAATTCTTTACTGCACTGCTACAGAATAGGACTTAAAAAGGGGAAATAGAAACAAAATGTTTTTTCTGAAACATTCTGGTGGAATCTAAGTGCGCATAGATGCATGCAAGATGCGCAAATGCACAGTGCCCCATTGGCACCCTAGAGTATCTGAGCTATTGGTATGGGAAAATACAGAACATAGGATGCAAGACCTCCAGAAGATCCAGTCCTTCCAGGTACAGCAGTGTAAGCCAAGTGGAATAACCCAAACATCTGAGGTAGACACCTATTCTTACAAATCTGAATTACTCACTTTATTTTTCTTTAATATTCTTTTACAAAGGATTTCAAAATGTTCTCATTTGGTCTCCAAGATGAATGAAGATAAAAGTAAAAAATTCAAAACCCTTCATAGAACAGACATATTGTTTTCTGTCCAGTTTGAGATACACCACTAGTAGAGAATGATTCTGTGCTGAAGTGTAAAGTTAAAATGCTTCTTAACTTGGAAGCGCATGTGGAGTGAACATAAGAGATTTTGTTCACAAAGTGCCCTTTCCCCTGAATATTTTAGAAGACACAGGTTTTCAATACAGATTTTCTGAAAAAGTTATTTGATAACACCTAAAAAGCCCTGAAAGGATAATTACACAGTGCAGTGCTAAATCTGGCCATAAAATATGATAGCTTGTCCTAGTTTAAGAGTAAATTCAATGCAATCTTCACTATGAAGCTTTCAGTCACCTCTATTACATGAAAGCAATCCATTAAGAAATACACTTACTTGGATGAACACAGTGAAATATATAACTACAAGAGTAGCAGTAATGAACAATTTTTTTCTTGGGAAGAGATTCACTGGAAGCAAGAATGCAAGAGAGAAGCTGCTGGCTCCTCGAAGGCCACTGTAGGAAATAATGAGTTGGTCTTTGAAGGTGAAGGGATATGTTCGGAACTTGTTACTGATGTAGAAGAGAGCAAATACACCTAGGAAGGGAAAAAAACATGACTATTATTAATCAAGGAGAAAAGGAAAATATTTAAAGCAAAACAACCTCTTGGCTCAGGCAGCTGTTGACAGACCTTTCTTTTCAGTTTTGGGTTCTCGTAGCTTCCCTTTGACCAACTGCTGAATCTGTTTTGTGTGAAGTAATCTCCTAGAAAAGGCTGTGGTTCCTAACTGCTTCAGGATTTAAATTCCCTTATGCAGTTTAGAAGTGAGATTAGGGGAAAAGATTTACTTTCTATATTTATGTTGCACAGTTTTTCTCTGAAGTGTTCTGAGGGCAAGACAAACCACTGGACGAGGGTTTTTCCTGTGCCTTCCCTTGCAATGTTTCCTGCTTTCTGCACAGTATCCGCTCAAAGCGTTTGAACAGTGCTTTACCAACAAGTCCTGTGGACAGGTTCACTGAAAGGCAAAGAGTAATAGCATTTTAATTTTTAATCCTCTGGCTTATTGTGTCTCTAATTCTCTGTTTATTTCTCAAATTTCATTTTGCTTTTAATAAAAGTTAAAATTAATCAGACAGCCTGTGGCTGTGTAAGGACTGCAGCTTTTCTTTGTAGAGTACATTTAGCAATTTGCTCGATTTACTCTTAATCTTCTTCATCTTCCATAAGAAACATGTATCCTATGTTTTGTGTGGAAACTGTTAAATTACTGAAGTAAAAGCTGACAAACGCTGATAATTACTGGTGTTATTTTACACAGCTGTCACTGGTAAACTCAGTGGATTATTATAGGTAAGGCCAGTAGCAGAATCCTGTTATGCAGGTTGCTGGATACCGCTTTATATAAGACCTCTTTTGGCTATTTATGACTATGCTAGACATCAGTTACTCAGACTGAAACTGCACATGTGAGGTATCACCCTCAGGCCAATTCTCTTTATTCAAGCTTCAGAGAAAATGATGTAATCATTTTAGCAAACAATTTTAGCGGAAAATATTTCGGCCTTCCTCTGGAAAGCTCTAGCACTCCCCTTGGTGTTTGAGAGAAGTATGGACATGTGGCAGCAAAATAGCTTTTGTGTTAGGAGAGCACTTTTTCTGTCTTGATTGGAAGGATATTCCAATACAGACTCTGAAAGTAAGCCTTTAAAAACTTAGGGGCCATGCTTGTTCTAGGATTAGCAAGAAAATATGTAACTACTTTCTTTTTGCTGTCAACCCACAAGAATCTATCACCTCTGCTGTTGAGTACTTGTGTCATCCCTATATAATAGAGCTGTTCAGATGCACGTACTTGAACCTTCACAGATTTCCCCTTTCCTCTTTTTCTTCTGGTTAAATGCCTTCCTCCAGGGCTCTCAGGCTTAAAAGCAAAGGTCTTGAAATGTGTATGGGCTCTGAGCGTCAAGCCAACATCTTCTTCCTGCTCTGGTATTCTTTTTGACTGAGGGATAAGCCACCTGAGAGGTTTAAGAAATAGCACCTTAATCTCAGATGTTTGATGCCAACACTTAGCTGGCCCCAAATGTTAGACTCAGAGTACTGTAGGCTGGAAAGGACCTTTGGAGGTCATCTAGTCCAAGTCCCTACTCAAAGCAGAGCTAATCACAGCAGGTTGCTCAAAGCTCCTGTCAAGTCTTGAATGCCTTTAAGAATGGAGAGCTGGGCCACTGTTACAACATTGGATCACCCTCATGTTAAGAAATAGGTTCCTACTGTCTAATCAGAATTTCCCACATTCCAGCTTGTGTCTGCTGCCTCTTTTCCTATTGCTGTGCACCTCTGAGAAGTGTCTGGCTCCATCTTCTCTCTCTCCTCTGATCGGGTACTTGTAGAAAGTAATAAGGTCTCTCCTGTGCCATATCTTCCCCAGGCTGCATAGACTCAGCACTCTCAGACTCTACTTGTACATCCACTGCTCCAGCCTCTGACCAGGTTGGTGGCCTCTATTGCACTTGATCCAGAATCTCCGTGTCTTTCCTATACTGGGGGAGCCCAGAACTGGAGAGAGCACTCTGGAGACAGCACACACTTCCACCAGTGCTGAAGAGAGGGGAAGAAACACTTCGTTGGACCTGCTGGCTACACACTTGCTAAGGTAGCCCAGGACACAGTTGGCCTTCTTCGTCACAAGGACATAATTCTGGCTTGTGTTCAACCTGTTGTCTACCAGGCCAGGCCCTTATCTGCAGAGTTGCTTACTAGACTCCAAGGCTGTACTGGTGCATGGAGTTATCCCAACCCACATGTAAGTCCTTGCATATGCTCTTCTTGAACTTCATGAGCTTTCTGTCAGCCCATTTCTCCAGCCTGTCCAGGTCCCTCTGAATGGAAGCCATCCAGAATATTGACTGCTCCCTGCAGTTCAGTGTCAGCCACAAACTTGCTCAGTGTGCGTTCCATTCCATCCTCCAGGTCAGTAATGAAGACATTAAAACAATATTGGTCCCTGTACTGAGCCCTGAGGGATGCCATTAGCCACCAGCTAGACCAGTATTTTGAGACCAGCAGTCCAGCCAATTCCCTTCCCACATTATCAACCACTTAAACTGGCCAAAATCTGCTCTTTGAAGTCCAGGGTTGTAATTCTGCTGTTTGTCAGCTTGCTCACTCCTCTCGGGATCTTAGCATCCACAGTCTCATGGTCACTGCAGTAAAGGCTGCCCTCAATCTTCACATCTTCAGCCATTTCTTCCTTCTTTGTGAGTGGTAGAGAAAACAAAGCATATTCTCCAGTTGATTCATCAGCCAGTCTCCAGCAACTATCACTTGCCTTTTCCTCTCAACCCCTTTTTGCCTTCCCCTTCAGGGCACAGCTGGCCCTGATGAAGCACCTGACAGGTCTTGTTCCTCCTCAATACTGTAGCAGATGATGCGGGGCCAATGCCCAGAGCTCAAGCCTGGGCTCTGTACGTAAAGGGAATATAGACAAGGGCTGAAGGCTGGAGGAGGCGGTGGCAGGTGCCCAGTGTAGATTTCTGCCCCACAAGATGCTCCAGAGGGGCCTCTTTTGATTATAAATGAAGCATGGGGGAACTAAGCTACTAACTTAGTTAGCCAAGGTAGGTGCCTAAATTTCAGTGCTCAGAATATCTCCTCCAAGGCCACCTGATGGAATATTTGGATTTCTCATTTTCTTTAAAAATATAAATTACTCTGAAAAATCCTACTGAAATTCAGAAAGAATGTTATTAAGATGGCCAATTCAGGCACTCAAGTTAAAAAATGTCAGAAATAAGGTTGCCTGCTTAACTGTATTTTTGGCCCGTGTGTACAACTTCCAAAACATCTTTCATTACAAAAGCATCGTTCACTCATATTTTTAACTAAATTTAAGTGACAAATAACAGTGGCTGAGTAGGGTGCGTTCCATAATTCATCACCTCTCTAGGACTAAATGTGTTTGCTTTCTGTTGCAGCAGTTTTAACTTAACCTGATGCAAAATAGAGTATTCAGGTTCAAAAAAAGGATGGCATAATTCATGGGCAACAGGTCCAAAACAGACCCCTATATAGCACAGGCAAGGAATGTACCCTTTCACATCCCTAACACAGTGGCTGTAGATGCTGAGGAAGTAGGAGGTGAACAGAGCTCAGAAAGTGGCCAGACTTGCAAGCCTTTCCTAATTAGCATCTCCTGCAGGCCCTGTTGAAGACATCGCTAGAGGGTTGGGTTGACCCAGTAGGTCATTCCTTCGTCTCTTATGTCAGCTAGAGTGTTTGGCTGGACGGTACTAGTAGATGAGGGAGAAGATGGCAATGTGTTGCCTCTCTGCTTCCACAGTTGCAGTAAATTGGCTAACGGGCACAAGAGCAGCTCGTACGAGAAGTCTGCCAGGACTGCTACCACCTCCAGAACACCACCAGCCTTCTTATTGCTTCTCCTTTTTCAACGTTAACTGTCAACCCATCCTGGACATCAGGAGAAGATGAGAAATTGTGTCCCACAGCTTGTGTGACATCATCTATAAACTGCACTGCCCATGCTGGAGGAATCCCAGTCTCACAGATTAGGGAGTAGGAGGCCTTTCCAGGAATGGGGAGATACGGTGTATAGAAATGGAGTAATTTCAAACAGGCATTCTTTTCTAGCAGTTTAAAACTCCAGAGTTGACTTGTGAGGAGCAGTAGCATAGTGTGGTTGGCCTATATGTGGTATAAGGAAGGAAATAACTGTTCAGTTATCTATCAGTGCTAATTTTCACCTTCCCTCTTTTTCAATGCCTCCGGCACTCCTGGCCCAGGACCTGTAGTGTTATAGCACCAGAAGTATGGTGATGTACATTATCTAATTATTAAGTTAATTACAGTGTGCAATGAAATCATTATGAAGCCCACTTACCCAAGGGCATATAGTTAACTAAGATATAAGCATCTGTATAGGCATAATCATAGCAATATTTTAATTTTGGTTAAAATATTCCATTCTCACCTAATGATAAAGTCTGTGCTTGGAGACTGGCATTCAGATTTGTTTGGGGCTTTTTCCCTGTTTTTCTCCATGTGTGGATTTGTGAAATTAACTTATCAGTAACATAAGCCTAGTCAATTCATTATTAAACCGGTTATGCCAGTCTGCACAGACTTTTCTAACATACCTTTGCACCACAGGGTTTCTCTCAGAGGTGCAGAGGTTGCCTGCAAAAGCTGACTTACTCAGTGTCCGCCAAACGAGGCAGAAGAACAGAGTGAAGCAAATGAAGGCCCAGTTCCACTCGTGGTTTTTCCCCACTGTAGACACTCCCATGAACACGAAAATTAGGGTCTCGCTGACGCTGCTCAGCATCTTCATGAAATATTTTATTGTGGTATAGGAATTCTGGGAAACATTCTCCTCCACATATTTTTTCATTGTCACTGCACATGCTGTCATCCTGTACCAGGCAAAACATGAGAGATCAGCCACACCCTGTTATTCTTTATATTTAAGAACAACCTCAGCCTTCATTACCTGCACTCTTCATCACCAGCCTCTGACCTTCCTAATATCAAGAAGCATTTTATTTCTTCAGTAACGTTAGCTATTTCATTAGGTAGAAGAGCATCTTCATTCAGCTTTACAAATTCATTTTGCATACAGAAAAAAGGAAGCAAACCAGTCAGCCTTCCTGACGAGGAAGTGGGGCTATCACGTTCCAGTTCAAAGTCCATTTTATCCCGAATGCCTAACACACAGCCACCTAGCACCAAATATTTGAGTCTCAAACAAAGCGCAATTCGGTTTTGTACCAGCCTACGGATGGATCGGTTAGAGGGACATAACCTGCCTCTTAGTGATCATCTCTTTTGAGGTGGTGGTGGGAGAACATGGTGGTAGTCCTATGCTGGGGCCAAAGCTCCCGGCGGCTCCCTGCCAGCTGGCTGGCAGATCAGCAGGGCCAGGGTAAGCGTCAGTGACTCTGCACCCACAGCAGCCCATTGCTGTACAGCAGGGGGAAATTCAGTTATCCTACAGAGGTGTCCTTCCCCCGTTTTAGTTATCCAGCGTGTGGAGAACGTGCCTAAAGAAGCAAAGGGATGTTTTCCACCTCTTCGCTGTTAATGAAGACTAGAGCCTGCTTCAGAGGCATCAGCAGCCACCCAGCACAGACGCTGGTGACAATCACACGGAGCAGTAGTCTTTGAGCAGCCCTACTGAAGGGGGTTTCCTCTTCCCCCCCTTGATTTTCCATAGTCATAGGTAACAGATAGATTGAGTGCTATGCTAGTAACATATTCCATCATCTATCTAGTTTCTACTGATATTGTTTTAGTCTTTAGGGGCTTCTTGTGATGATATTTTTCCAAACTTGTGAATTCAGAGAACACTGACTGTTCATTAAATAACCCTTCATCTAGTTTCTGCTCATTTAATTTCCACTGAAGAAATCTCAAGGATATTATGGTGGAGCTGAGACATTTAGCAGGTCCAAGGACACTCTAAGACAAGGCCATTAAGCATTAATGTTTAATACTGTTGACTTTCAGAGACACAAGAGTAATAGACTTTCACGATCCAAGTGAAAAATGAATGAATTCCTCAATAATTCAGAAAGGTGACAATAAGTTCCCATCCCTAAAACAAGCAATAATTTCCTTAATGAAGCAGTAAGAATAATAAATCCCAATTATATTAACATTCTTTTATTACTAATAATTTCAGCACTCTAATGAAAATAAGAAGCAAAAGAAATAAAGAGCTATGTAGTCTAGTGTAATGAATAGGCAGGGAAGCAGTATTTCGGGCAGTGTAGGCAGGAAAGGGTCCGCATGGTATTAGTGCTCACTACACACTGGGTCTAACCCCGCTCAACTAAAGTCACCAGTCACCTCAATCAGAGCAAATGTGTTGGATATGCAAAACGTAGTACAAGAATCGTCTGCTTTGTCTAATTGCTCAGAAAAAACACATCTCCTGTCTAACTACTTATTTAATATGTTTAAATATTCAAATATTGCTTCCCAGGACCATCCTGCAAAGGTTGTTTTTACAAAGCAAATTCTGCTCTGAAGCTGAACAAATTGGGGTTCAGCCTGGAGAAGAGAGGGCTCCAGGGAGACCTTATTGCGGCCTTTCAATACTTAAAGGGGGCTTATAAGAAAAACGGGGACAAACTTTTTAGTAGTGCCTGTTGCAATAGGACAAGGGGTAGTGGTTTTGAACTACAAGAGGGTAGATTCAGACTATATAAGGAAGAAATTTTTTACGCTGAGGGTGGTGAAACACTGGCACAGGTTGCCCAGAGAGGTGGTGGATGCCCCATCCCTGGAAACATTCAAGGTCAGGCTGGACGGGGCTCTGAGCAACCTGATCTAGTTGAAGGTGTCCCTGCTCATTGCAGGCAGAGTGGACTAGGTGACCTTTAAAGGTCCCTTCCAACCCGAAGTATTCTGTGACTCTATGATTCTATGAAATCAGGGTTTGACAAGTGGAGGTGAGTAAATGCACCTGTCTGGACATCAACAGCCACACATTTGTATTTGTTAGGTTTAAACTCAAAGAACCTCAAAAAAGGGAACTCCTTGCTGGAGCACCAGGGCCCGCAAGACCTGGCATGCAAGCTCAGAGCCAACACAGGCCATGCAGGGCTGCTGCCACGCACCAGCTGGGCGCTGAGCCTGCAGCAGCCAGCAGCACTAGCTGGAGCATTTACCATCATCAGGTTCCCATTTCTTTACACTTTACCCTGCTGAGGGGCTGTTTGGTGTAATATCTTTGAAATTCACCTAGCAGCAGTTTTCTCGTAAAGTCTCTCACTTTCACCCCTATTCCTTCCTTTCTCTTCTGACTCCTTTCCTGCCGCCGTCCTCTTTCCTTCCCACAATACTCACCCTCTCCGCATTTACTGCGGTCGATAGACCTGCCAGCTTTCTCTCTCCAGCGGGCACCCATGCCATGACAGCACTTTAAGGAAGTAGTCCCCAGCATTACAGCAATATCAAGCTATCCTGATCACATCAAAATATGACCATCAATATCCATATATATGAGAATATGTATGTATATGTGCTTGATGTTCTTGGTTGTCTGGTTTTGCCCAGTTTCAGTTCCAGTGATGCTGTTCAAATGTAATGTAATTCCAGTAAACTGTGTTAGAGCTGATGTTCACAGCTGTGTACAAAAGCAAGAACTAGGATGTTCTTTATTATGTTTTCCATACTCATTACTTTTCATCTCTCTTGTAATCTGATGGTGATGCTGCTTAGAAATAAATACAGATACACTGATGTATTATCAAATCATTCTCTCATTCTGCTGATCTTATCGGAGGTAGCGGCCAGATGGTGGCAGCACTAATCATTTTACCCACAGCTCGCAGTATTTTTTCCAACAGGCAAAAATCTAAAAAAATTTCAGAGCAGATACGCACTACTCAGTAGTACATCTATGCCTATGCTGACTGTGGGTTTGCTTTTCCTAGTTACCACTGCATTTTAGAGGTCCCTTAGAAGCCGTCCACTGTGGATCTGTAGGCCAGAGACTGAAAATGCCTGTATTGTACCAACCTCAAGAAAACCATCTCCTCAAAACAATGCCACTTCCCTCGAGAGGGCATCCAAAAAGCCGTAAGGGATACTCACGCCAAAATGCCCGAGATGTAAAGGGTTTCAGCGGACAGGTATGACAGGTAGCTGAACATGAAGACCAGCAGTGGTTCGATAGCAGAAACGTTGTGGGTGAATCGAGTCATGAGTGCCGAAACGAATCCAAAGACGATGCCAAACAACACGCCACCCAGCCCCACCACGAAGAAGCGAGCGAAGCCAGCAAAGACATCGATGGATTCGATTTCTTCGTACCTGTGCATCTGGGTGAAGGCGATGAGGATGTTATATAAAACCTACGTGTGAAAATAAGGAGACAGCAGTCAGGTGTTTTTCTGAACTGGGCAGGCTTACTCCTTTCATAAGAGGGGAGGGTGTGTGTGTGGG